TTGTATTAGGCAAACCTGCAGGACCGGGCCGTTGTAGCAATATGGTCTGTGAAGCTTAACTGATCATCCATCACAACTCCATGGTTCCTGGCTGACCTGGAAGGAGTTATGGTTGACAAACCTAGCTCTATAGAGAGGTTGTGATGAAGTGCTGGGTTGGCTGAGATCACGAGCAGTTCTGTCTTAGCAAGGTTGAGTTGAAGGTGATGATCCTTCATTCAGCCAGAAATGTATGTCAGACAGGCTGCAATGCGAACAGCTACTGTCGGATCATCTGGTTGGAATGAGAAGTAGAGTTGAGTGTCATCAGCATAGCAATGATAGGAAAAACCATGCTTCTGAATGACGGATCCTAAAGATGACATGTAGATGGAGAAAAGAAGTGGTTCAAATACTGAGCCTTGAGGAACCCCAATAGCAAGAAGTTGTGACTTAGAAACCTCACCCCTCCAAGACACCCTGAAGGACCTGCCAGAGAGGTAAGACTTGAATCACTGGAGTGCGGTTCCTGAGATGCCCATCGACATGAGGGTGGACAGGAGGATCTGGTGGTTAACTGTGTCAAAAGCAGCAGACAGATCCAGCGAGATGAGTACTGAGGATTTGGAAGCTGCTCTTGCCAGTCTCAGGGCTTCAGTAACCGAGAGCAGTGCAGTCTCAGTTGAGTGGCCACTTTTGAAGTCAGACTGGTTGCCGTCCATGAGTTTGTTCTGTGCAAGAAACATAGAGACTTGGTTGAACACAACTCGTTCAAGTGTCTTTGCAATGAACGGAAGAAGGAACGGAAGAAACGTCTGTAGTTTTCTAAAAGTGCTGAATTTAGAGAGGGTTTCTTAAGCAGTGGGGTTACCTGAGCCTACTTGAATGCTGCGGGAAATGTACCAGAGTGAAGAGAGGTGTTGATAATGTGAGTGAGCTTGGGTATAACTGAAGAAGAAATGACCTGAAGGAGGTGAGTGGGGATAGGATCAAGCGGACAGGTATAGGATGATTGGAAAGGATAAGTGTAGAAACGTCTGCCTCCGAGAGTGGATAGAAGGAGGAGAGAGAATGAGTATTTATGGTTATGAAGGTTTTGTTAGTTTGTGGTGTGGAGAATTGGTCGCTGATGGTTCTTGTTTTATTTATGAAGAATATTGCAAAGTCATCAGCAGTATGAGTTGATGGAGGAGGACAAAGAAGAGAAGAAAAGGTTTTGAAAAGCATGCGAGAGTCAGAAGAGTTGTTCATTTTGTTGTGGTAGTATGTTGTTTTAGCAGTGGAGACACTTGCAGAGAAGGAGGAGTGACTTATATACACTAAGGTCAGTAGAGTTTTTAAATTTTCTCTGCAGTCTAGAGCGATGTTCCTTGAGAACATCAGACAACCAGGGGGCAGAGGAGGTGGTGCGTGCTGGTCTGGATGAAAGGGAGCAAACGTTGTCTAAGCAAGATGTTAGAGTGGAGCAAAGAATGTCAGTAGCAGTGTTTGTGTCCAGTGCTGAAAACTGAAAGGGTGGAGGAAGTGAGGATGAAACCATAGAGGATAGGCGAGTGGGAGAGAGCGAGCGTAGTTTACGGCGAAAGGTGACCTGTGGAGGAGTGTGCGTTGTGTCCGGAGTCAGTGTGAGGTTAGAAGTGATGAGGAAGTGGTCTGAAGTGTACAATGGCGTAACTAAAGTGTTGTCAGTTGAGCAGTAGCGTGTGTAGGTAAGGGCCAAATGGTTACCTGATATTTAACCTGTTAACCTGGACGCCAGCGCACTGAACGCTCTTTGTTTGCACGTGTCAATGTTTACAAATAGATTACATGAAAATGGACAAAATTAATCTTGGCAAACTATATATCATTCCAAAGGTCTAAGCCTGAAGCATCAACGATAGATTGCTGTTTTTCAATGGAAAGCTTATAAAGAATGTATTTGCTAAATTTGTGTAAGCAGTACACATCAAAACATGCATAATAAAAACGCATTACGTACCAGATTCATCGTAATAACGAGTCACAAACGCATCCACTGCTGTAAACCCTGATTTAGTTAGAAAGGTAAGGGTCCATTGAACAACATCCCATAGAGCACTTTTAGTCCAACGAAACAATAACGTTGTAATATGGATGGTTATTCCTTTGTTTACGTCTCATTTTTTCTGGGACAGTTATTGTTTGTATCCGTTATGGAATAACTTACGCTCAAAAAAACTACGTCTAGGTAGTAAAAAGCAACATGGTTTTGTAGCATACAGTGCCACAAACAGAATGAGACCATCTACTAAAAAAAAGTCAAAGATACGCGGAATCTTGTTTATTTGAATTCTGGCACTCTCTTGTGACGGCACATGACGCACACTGTGACTCACCTGTTATCTGATGGGGGCATAGCGATCAGCTTTTTGCACAAATAATTCTTCTTCTTTTTTTCTATTCAACATTTTTCATATATGTGTGTGTGTTTTGTGGGTAATGTGGCTGTATCTGTATGATTACCATCTGTATGACCAGCCATCAGCGTGTGATTACTGACTGTATGACCAGCAATCAGTGTGAATGCTGTATGTCTGGCAATCAAAATATGTACTTGACATACAAAGTTTTTTTTTTTTCCTTTATATTACTCAAAAATTATTCTTATTGTATTTTTCTAGTGCTCAAATAAATCACTTATACAATGTCTAAGATTCTATTAATTATTTTATAATTGTTCATAAAAAACGTCTCCGGTTACGCATGTAACCATGGTTCCTCGAGGGAACGAGACGCTGCGTCGGAGGACACTTTGGGAACGCCCTTCAGTGGACCGGCTCTGAATCCCGTGTGTAATCAGTCCAATGGATGGGCGAGACGTCACGGGCGGGGTGACGTAGTGACCAGGAAGCTTAAAAGCACGTGCGGTAAAACCGGCATCAGCTTTCTGTCATTCAGCAAGCGCTCTGTGTGTGTCAGTCTGATATCTGTTTGTGAGTCTTATTTAGTGTTGTCTGTCACGAAAACTCAAGACAAAACCAGACACCTAAGGCGAGGGCAGGCAGCATTCAGGCTGTGTTTGTTTGACAGTTTGTTTGTTGTCGGCTTGGGAGCAAGCACGCAGAGTCAGCTCTCGGAAAAAAAGGAGCTGTCGGCCCGTTTTGGTAGCGTTTGTTACTGCCATGTTTCGCTCTCAGAGGGCTCTCTTTTAGTCTCAGAAAAATGGTTGCAGGAATCTCATTTTTCATAGTATCTTCTTAACATTTTAAACAAACTCAGGAGACATGTGACTTTCAACTCATTAATTTTCTGGATTGCTCCAGGACTGATTTAAAAAAAAAAAATTTAAATTTAAAAA